GTGATGTGCTGCGCTCCAGGTACATCAGTATAATATTAAAAAGTTCAATTTGGCGCATTAGTATAGTTCAATTTGGCGCATTATTTATGATGTTCAAAGTACATCCTGACAGTGAAAGATTAAACTTGGCTCATGAGTATGTTTCAATTTGGTGCATAGTATGTCATGCGCTCCAAATACATCAGTATTTTAAAAAGTTCAATTTGGCGCGTTAGTATAGACCAATTTGGCGCGCTTTTTATTATGTTCAAAGGTCATCCTTGTATTGAAAGGTTAAATGTGGCTTATGAGTATGTTTCAATTTGGGAATAGTCTTTGACATGCTCTAAGTTCATCAGTATATTAAAAAGACCAATTTGGCGCACGCATTGGTATAGTTCAATTTGGCGCGTTATTTATGATGTTCAAAAAACATCATTATATTGAAAGGTTAACCTTGGCTCGTTAGTATGTTTCAATTTAAGACATAGTATGTTATATGCTCTAAGTTCGTCAGTATATTAAAAAGTTCAATTTGGCGCATTATCATAGTTCAATTTGGCGCGTTATTTATGATGTTCAAAGTACATCCTTACATTGAAAGGTTAAACTTGGCTAATGAGAATGTTTCAACGGGACATAGTATGTGATGTGCTCTAACTTCATCAGTATATTAAAAAGTTCAATTTGGAGCATTATCATAGTTCAATGTGGCGCGTTATTTATGATGTTCAAAGTACATCCTAACATTGAAAGGTTAAACTTGGCTCATGAGTATGTTTCAATGGGACATAGTATGTGATGTGCTCCAAGTTCATCAGTATAATAAAAAGTTCAATTTGGCGCATTAGTATAGTTCAATTTGGCGCATTATTTATGATGTTCAAAGTACATCCTTACATTGAAAGGTTTAACTTGGCTCATGAGTATGTTTCAATTTGGGACATTGTGATGTGCTGTAAGTTCATCAGTATATTAAAAAGTTCAATTTGGCACATTATCATAGTTCAATTTGGCGTGTTATTTATGATGTTCAAAGTACATCCTTACATTGAAAGGTTACACTTGGCTCATGAGTATGTTTCAATGGGACATAGTATGTGATGTGCTCCAAGTTTATCAGTATATTAAAAAGTTCAATTTGGCGCATTATCATAGTTCAATTTGGCGCATTATTTATGATGTTCAAAGTACATCCTTACATTGAAAGGTTAAACTCGGCTCAGGAGTATGTTTCAATTTGGGACATAGTATGTGATGTGCTGTAAGTTCATCAGTATATTAAAAAGTTCAATTTGGCGCATTATCATAGTTCGATTTGGCGCGTTATTTATGATGTTCAAAGTACATCCTTACATTGAAAAGTTAAACTTGGCTCATGAGTATGTTTCAATGGGACATAGTATGTGATGTGCTCCAAGTTCATCAGTATATTAAAAAGTTCAATTTGGCGCATTATCATAGTTTAATTTGGCACATTATTTATGATGTTCAAAGTACATCCTTACATTGAAAGGTTAAACTTGGCTCATGAGTATTTTCAATGAGACATAGTATGTGATGTGCTCCAAGTTCATCAGTATATTAAAAAGTTCAATTTGGCGCATTATCATAGTTCAATTTGGCGCGTTATTTATGATGTTCAAAGTGCATCCTTACATTGAAAGGTTAAAGTTGGCTCATGAGTATGTTTCAATTTGGGACATAGTATGTGATGTGCTGTAAGTTCATCAGTATATTAAAAAGTTCAATTTGGCGCATTAGTATAGTTCAATTTGGCGCGCTTTTTATTATGTTCAAAGTACATCCTTACAATGAAAGGTTAAACTTGGCTCATGAGTATGTTTCAATTTGGCATATAGTATGTGATGTGATTCAAGTACATCAGTATATTAAAAGGTTCAATTTGGCGCATTAGTATCGTTCAATTTGGCGCATTATTTATGATGTTCAAAGTACATCCGTACATTGAAAGGTTAAACTTGGCTCATGAGTATGTTTCAATTTGGGACATAGTATGTGATGTGCTCAAACTTCATCAATATATTAAAAAGCTCAATTTGGCGCATTAGTGTAGTTCAATTTGGCGCATTATTTATGATGTTCAAAGTAAATCCTTACATTGAAAGGTTGAACTTGGCTCAGGGGAGTATGTTTCAATTTTGGACATAGTATGTGATGTGCTCAAACTTCATCAATGTATTAAAAAGCTCAATTTGGCGCATTAGGGTAGTTCAATTTGGCGCATTATTTATGATGTTCAAAGTAAATCCTTACATTGAAAGGTTGAACTTGGCTCATGAGAGTATGTTTCAATTTTGGACATAGTATGTGATGTGCTCAAACGTCATCAATATATTAAAAAGCTCAATTTGGCGCATTAGTGTAGTTCAATTTGCCGCATTATTTATGATGTTCAAAGTACATCCTTACATTGAAAGGTTGAACTTGGCTCATGAGTATGGTTCAATTTTGGACATAGTATGTGATGTGCTCAAACTTCATCAATATATTAAAAAGCTAAATTTGGCGCATTAGTGTAGTTCAATTTGGCGCATTATTTATGATGTTCAAAGTAAATCCTTACATTGAAAGGTTGAACTTGGCTCATGATAGTATGTTTCAATTTTGGACATAGTATGTGATGTGCTCCAAGTACATTAGTATTTTAAAAAGTTCAATTTGGCGCGTAAGTATTTATCAATTTGGCACGTTTTTTATTATGTTCAAAGTTCATCCTTACATTGAAAGGTTAAACTTGGCTCATGAGTATGTTTCAATTTTGGACTTAGTATGTGATGTGCTCTCAGTTCAATAGTATATTAAAAAGTTCAATTTGGCGTGTTAGCATAGTTCAATTTGAGGCATTATGAACATTATAAATAACGCGCCAAATTATACTATACTAATGCGCCAAACTGAACCTTTTAATATACTGATGAACCTACAGCACATCACATACTATATCTCAAATTGAAACATACTCATGAGCCAAGTTTAACCTTTTTAACCATTTTATTCATGAAATTGTAAAATATAATGTACTCTGTAATTACTGTATGCTATGTAATTGTCAAATATATTGAAGTATATGCATATTTTATACTTAAACTTTGTGTTTTGTTCTGTATCGTTTTGTGACACTTGTTGATAAGGTTGATCCGTACTATTATATATGTTATAGATTGTACATGTAACCTAATGATTTACATACAAAAATAAGTTTTTGTTCAGCGCAATCCCTCATCCTTCATAATTTTTAATTCCGGGGATTTTATACCGATTGCTTATTGTATTTCATACATTTGAATATTGTTTTCTTTTTAAAATCTAAAAATGCATCATCATCATAAACTTCTGCCACATAATTATACAACAATTAATTTTCCTCCAGATGGCTTCACTCTAAACGTTCGAACCTCCTCCCTTACTAGGGGTCTAATTTGTCATAGGAAAGTCTGGATTGTCTCAATTTAAAACTGACAAAGAACAAAGATATCACAATACGCTTTATCTCATTTTAATTTTAACTACACCGAAATTGCTGCTAATTTTTGGTAAGACTAAAAACAAACTTCAAATTAATATGCGCTTATTTTACTCAAAACGGAGAATAAATAATTTACCGATTTATATTTGAAATATACCCAAATTTTTCATTCCACTTTTTGTATTGACTTACATTTTTAAAATGCATTTAAAGTTCATTTAAAATCATATACTTCAACATCATAAAATTTTTAATGAGATCTCAGACATCAAGTTTGATTTAGCTTTCTTAAGTGAAATGCATGATTTTATTTGTTTACATTAGCGATTAATTGAAAAATAAAATAGGATTAACTCCAAGCAAATTAAGGCACATCAAAGAATATATAGCCTCACGTATAAGAGGCGTATAGTTTGTTTTTGGATTACGTAATACATACTATACTCATCTTTTCTATGTACTTATATCCTACTATTCCTGGCTCTTAAGAATAATCGGAGAATAGTTCAAACGATATTTAATATCGTAGAGTATATACCACCAATACTAAATGTTCCGCTTCTGAGGCAAGAATAGTTTGTTTCCCATACCGAATACGATATAGTGAGGACATACTGAACTATATTCACAAATAGTTTGCCACTTATACCCTACTATATTTGGCTTTTTGCACAGTGGTTGGAACAGGTACAGAGAAGAGCTGCCAGGTTTGTAACAAAATTTCACTCAAGGGAACCAGGCTGCGTCACCAAAGCTCTTCAAGACCTACAGTGGGAGCCTACAGTGGGAGCCTACAGTTGGAGCCACCGAAGGAGCGTCAAGAGGCCACTAGAGTTTTCCTTTTTACAAAGGAAAGCAGAACCTAGCAGCAGCTGCCTAAAGATGAAACACTTATTCTAGTGAGAAGTTCATATGGTTTAAATAACGAAATGTTACCATGTGTCTACTTAGCAGCTTGTTCTTATAATGTCATCCATCCTGCTAGGTTACATTGAGGAACGCAGCCAAACACAACAATGAAGGCAACAACA